AGGAAGTGGGAGACAAGCCGGCCGGGAACCCGACCACAAGCACCTACCCTGGGAGACAATGAAAAGAAGTGGGAGACAAATGAAAAGAAGTGGGAGACAAATGAAAGGAAGTGGGAGACAAGCCAGCCGGGAACCCGACCACAAGCACCCAGCCTGAGAGACAAATGAAAAGAACTGGAGACAATTGAAAAGAAGTGGGAGACAAATGAAAAGAAGTGGGAAACAAATGAAAGGAAGTCGGAGACAAGCCAGCACCCAGCCTGGGAAACAAATGAAAAGAACTGGGAGACAAATGAGGAAGTGGGAGACAAGCCGGCCGGGAACCCGACCAGACCATCCAGCACCAAGGCGACCATTCTTTAAAGCATTGAGAACCCCTAACAGTAAACTGTTTGGGGAATAAAAGGAAAGAAGATACCACCCCATCATCAATGAGCCGACAACCCAAAACCAAGAGAAACGACGAAGAAAATGAAGCAGAGAAGAAAGACAGACGCAGAGAGAGCTTTTCCCAGCGCAGCCCACGCAACCCAGCTCCTACAAAACCTACACCAAAGAACACCAAAAAGGGAAAGAACCACGATGGAAGCAGCAGCAAGCCTCTGTAGAGGAGCGCGCGCTACAAGCACAGACGCCGCAGACCGCCAAGAAGCCAGCGACTACATCTAAAGAAGCCACAGGCAGACCTGAACAGGCAGCTTTGCAGAGCAGATCACAGTAGCGCAGCAGATACTCACCAAAATGCAACAATCCATGGAAAGCGCAGAGCTGCCACCATACGTCTAGGACATACAACAACAAATCATCGACCTACAAGAAAACTTACAACATCTTGAGAAACAAGCAGAGACGCTCACCACAGACATCAGGGATGTCGACGTCCTAGCCCAGCATGTCCACGACACGCTCTACTCCCACCAACAGAGAGAAGTTGCCAACCAAACAGTGGCAAAAGGCTGGCCACAGGAACTCACGGAGGCAGAGCGGGACAGTGTCCTGTAGTGGTACATGCACAAGGCGGGGGTTGAAGGACAGTGCGCAATACAACTTCGGACGATACCGCAGATCACCAATTTCCATCCTCCACTGGAACACCAAGCCAAACATACCTTTGAAGCATACATCTACAAGCACTACAACAAGCGCCGCCCAGCAACAACCTGGGACTCCAACAACAAAACAGCCTACTTTGGCAAGTAGCCGCGAAGAATCACCTTTACGCCGCAAACCAGTGACATGGAAAGAGAAATCAATCTTGCAGTTCAGGCTGCTTTGCGCATCGTGACAAAAAGTGAGGCAAGCAACCTTGCGAACACATGGAACAAAATCACAGTGATGTGGCAAGACAAAGTAGCTGTGAGAACAGATGACAACGCTGCGAGACAAGAGACCTCTACCTCCACATTCACAAAGAGTACTTCGACGTCATCAACGACTATTGGACAAAAGGCTGGGAGGAAGCAAACAGCAGAACCAAACGCCCCAGATACAAGTACTGTTCGCGGTCCTCGCTTGTGGTCTATGGTGACAATTTTTCGAGCCCTGCCGCTGCGCAGAAAGAAGGTGTTGGCAAGATCAAACATCTTTCAGGGAGGCTTCTTTGGCGCAGGAGAGGCAGGGAAGAGATTTAAGGAGCATTGATGCGATGACGAAACCTACGGATCTTGGCGCAAAGGTCCTCTCAGGTACAAAAATGAGGGTGTTCTTCATCGGTTTGACGAGGGTGAAGAATTTGGGAAAGGAGAATTTGAGACTGAGAAAGCAAAACAGGAAGCAACTCAACCACTGCAAACCAACTGGCAAAGAAACTTGACAGATTGACGCTCAGTGCGTTGCTGGAAAATGTCGCCTTGGGCCACGCCGCGCAACGAAATTCGCTTGGGGCAAACCATCACGGTCCCATGCGTGATCGTCTTGTTCATGGTGATTGGAGTTGGATTGAAAGATGGATGAGCAGTTGGTGATTCCAGAACTAAGCAGAGAAGGAGCAAGGGAAGGCGGCAAGATCCAAGCAGTCCACCAAGGAGGTCGGTGCCAATGACTGGTATGAAGACATGCCAGTAGAGAATGGCCCAAACGAATGGGATGCGAGTCGAGGTTGGTTTGTGAGGGGGCGGTTAGCATGGGCAGGTGACCCAGGATAGCCGTTCAATCAGGTGGTGACCTCGCTACCACCAGGGCTTCGAGAAAAAGAGGAAGAGGAGGAAGAAGAAGGAGATCTGTGAGGATTGCGCGAAGTTGGACAGCTCCATTTCCACATTCGAACGGTGAGGTTGGAAAGAGAAGAAAATGATGTGGAACCCGAGGCTCCAGAGTTCGGGAGACACCAGCCTGTGTATGGACCGGATGATTCGAACTCGTTGCAGAGGTAGAGGCCTTCAAGTCTATCTGCTCGAAAAGGGCAAACAGTTCAGAGAGATGAAGAGACGAGATCAAACAGACGACGCACTTCAAGATGGTGTTGACGGTTTGATGAAGCGTTTCATCGATGTGCAGAGAGGTGGACCAACAGCAAGGAAGAGGATCATCAACTACATCTGGTGAAAGAAGGGCGTGAAGACCAGAGTGGCCCGAAGTGAAGATGGCCAGATGGATGACTTATGGCGCCATGGGGGCGCTGGGAATGACAAGGTCGAATTGAAGGGCCCCACGCATGAAGACAAGCAGAAATAGCTGTAACTGTAGCAGGCCCAACTGAAGAAGACTACGAAGTAGAGAACGAGATTGAAGGCAGCAAAGAAAAAAAGGGGGAAAAGGAAAGAACGAGTCAAAACTTGAAGCAAAAAGGAAAGAGAACGACGAAGTAAAGCGGCCGGGCCTTACAACACCAAAGGCCATGGTAAGGCGAAAGGAAAGAAGAGAGAGAGAGAGAGAGCGCGCAGCTAGAAGTTAGAAGATGAAAGCTGGATGCAGTGGCATTTTGGCCACGGGAACTCACGAATGGATTGAAGCCAAGTAGACCCACGATATCGAAGCGGTTTCCCCATAAGTGGTGATCTTGGAGACACGCATTTCAGCATTTCTGTCGAAAAGGCAGGGTGTCAGACATGGACCGTTTCATGACGTGCCTTGCCCAAGGCTCGAGGTTGTGTGCGCCAGTGGATGTTTTCAATTTAGATGTGCTATCAGAACTTGAGACTTGAGGGCACTGAAGGGCCTCATGTGTGGGCGGCTTGATTGGCCCCCGCCGGCACGGTGTACTTGCATGGCTGACATGGCAAGCATATTGTAACTCGATCGGCGCTTCCTGCTACAGCCAGGAGACCAACTTCCTCATCAGGCAGCTCCTCCAGTTCATCGTCTTCATCTACGAAGCGACCTCAAAAAGAAATAAGGGAGAGTAAAACTTTGTAACAATAGAAAACCGCTGCCTTTCTCCAAGCAGTGTGGTCACACTAAAGGTTCGCGCCAGCAACGCAGATGTGAATGGCAGTCACACTGCCGCTGGAATTGACCTGCTTTTGCATGTCTTGTGCCTCGCGTCGAGGTTCGCGCGGTGGTGCCATTGCCCTGCACGCCCGCATAACCCCAACGCATGTGCAGCTCCTTCGGAAACTCATGCACCACACAAGGAACAAAGCGCTTTACATGTACTTGCCCGCCGCGACTATTTGTTGCCGCTGCCAGCTGCCGGCAAGACTATGTTTTGGGTTAACCTGTGTCGGTTCCGTATCATCCGGGGGCCCCTCATCCCAACACTTGTCGTCTGCGGTGCAAATCAGGTTGCGCACTTGCACCCAACCAGCGAAAGTGCCAACGACGCCACACCGGTGGTGGACAATTGGGGCCGTGCTGTGCAGAATCGCCTTCGAATCGCCTTCGCAACGGGCGCAATCTCGCCGACCTGTCGTGAAGGCAGCCCAGGTCAACTGGCGCACTTTGGTCGGCTTGGGTTGTTGCCCTGAGTTTCCCTGTGTGCTTCAGGAGTTGGGAGGTTCAGCTGACATGCTGTGGTCGGCCGGCTCTTGCGCGGGTTTCCCCGGTGTTTGCTTGGTCGGGAGTTGGGAGGTTCTGTTGACGTGCCGTGGTGGGATTCGGCCTTTGCTCAATATTTCAGTAGAAAAATTGTCTGTTCCAACCATACGAACGAAAAATCGTTCAAGGCATTGGATGCTCTTGCGTGTGGGCTGACCGAACACAACAATGGCCACTCAAAGAACCTGAATGGCTGGCCAGCCCCTGCGCGGCTGCGCGGGGAGATTGTAAGTATCGCCATTGGGTTTTGTTCCGAACTTGTTGCAGACATTTCCTACACTGAGGCCCGAAGTGGTGAGAATGCCTCAAAAACCTGGGCCTAGCAGGTGAACACACATGCTGCATGTCTTGACGCAAGCAAAGACCTTGACCAGCAGCCATTGAATCGGCCAGGAGAGCTTTGAAGCAGCGGCGCATTACCTTCTTTTTGAGATAAGACCCGCTCGTATGTGGTCTTTTTCGAAGTGTTGCGCGACTTGTGTGTAAAACATCCTCTACGGCTAGCTGCCTGTGACAATTCGATCGAGTTGAATCGAGTCGCTAAGTTTTTCGAGGATTGTGTTGCAACACTTCCTGCCTACGCCCTGATCCGAAGAGACAAACCCACAGAAGTTGCTTCCAGTGTTTTGCTTCTTATCGACGTCAGCCTGTGTGGTTGATGCACGAGCCTTGGGGTCATGGCAGGCATAATTCGATCTTGTGGGGACGGACAGCCTTTGGGCAACATGTACAGAGCTAAGCTGAACTATATATTGTTTTTGTAGTTCACAACTTTCGGCTGGATGGGGTCAGCCAAAAGTTTCGATTGCTTGTGGTCCACAATGCAGGGACTTTTTCAGAAACGCGTGTGTAGGCATGTGCAGTTGAGTCGTTACGAACAGCATAGGTGCTCATTTTGGCATGCCTTTCTTATTTGAGCCCGCAGCAAGACCTGTTTTTGTGGCAAAAGAATCGACACAAATTGGGTGGACATGCACATCATGACTATGGTAGTCGTGAATTGACATTATTTATTTATTGTTTTTTTTTTTCTCTCTCTCTCTCTCTCTACACATATAGAGAACAAAGGTATAAGGAGTGGAGCAGTGGCCATGTATGGGCAGCCTGCGCAGCGAGCGCAAAGCCAGGCTTTGATCTCCTAGCCCTTACTGTTTCGCTGCTCTTTCAGCATTTGAATTGATACGAATTGATCCTCTGACTAACATTTTGCCTGCCTCCCATATACGGTAAAATCCTCAATTTTGAGTGATCCACGATCTTTCAAGGGTTTTTGTTGGCAGATGCCAGACCATCTGAGCCTGACATTTGCGGTAACAGCCTCCAGGCGTTGGCTGGGATATTCTACGGCTTGGCCCAGCAAGGCATGAAACGAGCCAGAAGATCTTGAATGTGTTTAGATACAGTGATAGACAGTGGTGACAGACCCAACGAGGTTTCGTCTGTCAGTGGTCATGACGCCATCGCAACACGGTCGTTTTCTCCATAGCTGAAAGGGGGGCTCGTACCGGTATGTAGCGGATATTCACATATCCTCATGAACTTCTACTGACACAAATCGATGCATGCTTTTCACACATCCCTTTTTGATTTGTGTCATCTTCGGATCTTTGACTTGTTCATTCGAAAACACGAACCAAAACACACGCAAACCACCAACAACCACAAAACAAACTCCAATAATCCTCCTTTCTTGGCCTTTCCAATCCATTGGAGGACTGTGGGATCCTCCTTCAGCTTCATCTTTCCATACATCATCACTTTCCTCAGGAGGTCCATTTTTGCTCCAAGCTTCGTCAACCCGTCGACCAGCATGTGATCTGTTGGCAGCTATCGAATGGAAACTCCATCACGAGATATATTTTGTTTCACCAACAGCATTTCGATTGCCAGTCTCTTGTCATTGATTGTCATCAGCTGTCCGTTCAGGTGGTCAAACACAGGGCGAGAATCCACACTAATGGTGATGGGAATCCTCGAAGTCCATATCTGGTCTTCTTCCATCTTGTAGTTGCCATACATCGCCTCTGTCCAAAGAGACCTGACCCATTTGGTCTCTGCAATGGTTCTTGACAGTGTTAGGAGCTCAGCTCCTAGTGTTGATGCTACTTGCCTATCTTGCTTGTAGCTTCGCCATCTCAAAGGGGTCAAGTTTGACCAGTCATCCAGCCGTAGGCCTGGTTCGACAGCACAAATCATATATCCGCCCTGGCTCTTCCAAGCTTCAGCGTTTGCGAAGCTGGCATCCGACCATGATGCAAACTCAATCGTTCGAGGATCGAGTGGCTTCACCACAATTTCCATTCCTGAATGGTCTCGAGCCATAGCAACTAACCGGTTCACCTCTATCAAATCTTGCACAACTGACTTTGAAATCTTCTGTTGAAGAAGTGAACATCCTGCAGCAAGGTCTGGTCTAGACCCTGTGACTAGCCACTGAATCTCACCTAAAACTCCTCTCACTTGCGTTTTCTCAGCTGCCGTCGTTTCACTATCTTTTTCTTTTCTTCTTTCTTTCGTGATGTGTATGCTTTCCAAAGTGTCAGCATATTCTTTCTGTTGCACAACAATGCTGTGGTCATCACGTTGTTTCAAGAATTTTCCCAAAAATTCTCCTTCTCCTTTCTTCACATGTTTAAAAGGGTATTTCTGCTTCAGTTAGTGAATTCATTCTTGAAAAACTCTTCTGTTCCACCTATGAGCAGGTCGTCCACATGAAAAGCTACAATGCCTTGCAATGCTCCACTTTGCGTCCTGCTGTAGAAGATGCAACTGTCCAAGCCTGATTGGATCATGCCTAGCTGCTTCAATGTCTTGGTCAATGAATCCCACCACAACTTCGGAGCGTCCACCAACCCGTACACAGGTTTGATCAACTCGCAAATGGATGTCGCTGGCAAACCTGGAACTATCTCGTGGCAGGCTAACAAGAATTTTTCCTTTTTCTCTTTTTATGGTATCTCCTCGTAGGAATGCGCCTTCAATGTCTGCAATCACCATTTCCCAATGATGACTCGCCACGATCTGCAATGTCACTGCAAATCCTTCATTGCTCAATGTCGGTGAAGCTGTTTTGACATCCAACACGTCAGGATCAAGGTATCCTTTGATGCACCACCTTGCTTTGAGCACGCCTTCATTGGTTCCATCGTCTGAGGTGTACACAAAGCGTGACTGCAGCACTCTGTCGGATCCTACTTCATCAACAATTTTAGATGCTTCTCCTCCATGGTGAACTATCATAGCACCTGAGTTGATGAGCTTGTTCCATTCCTTACTTCTAGCATTGTCCAATTCCCTTCTTTTGTCTGGGGACAGGTTCTTGGCGTTCAACTCACGGTGTTTCACTTTCCTAGCTTTCCCTTCATTTTCTTGCTCAGTCACAAATGCACACAAGTGCATCCCTTTTTGATGTTCAACATTCAAAACTTCGTCCATGTTTCTTCGTCTCATTGGGGCTCCAAAGTCCAAGTTGTTCAGGCTGCTTCGCATTGCCTGTGTGAGTGAAGACGTTCGGACGGGTCCATACGTGGTGTTCTCAATGTCCCCATTGTGACGGGTCAACCTGCATACCTGCCTCTTCATGTGCCTGTGTGTCATGATTATCATTAGCACTAGGTTCACTATGTGGCTCACCGTTCACAGACATGACCTCTCCGTTAGACCTCTGACTAGACGTGACATGTCCTACTTCAGCATTACTTTCACTCTCATCTTGCACCACTCTTGCCTGATCGCTCGTCTCTGCTGGCTCAACTGGTTGATTGTCACCTTCTTGTCCTTCTTCTTGTTCATGTCTCATTTCAATATCTTCTTGGCTTCCTTGCGGTCCTTGGTCCTCACTGACCTCCCGCTCAGCCATCTCTCTCACTTCTCTTTGATCAGCTGGTGGTAGCCGATCCTTGTCCAACTCAACCACGTTTCCGGCTCCTCGTTCTCTAATGGTGCTTCTCCACGATCTCAGTGTGATAGGCAACCACGAAGCCAACTCAACAATTTCATTGTCGACATGTTTCACTTGTTCGGGTGCACACCTATACACCTTGGCTCCATACATGACCCAAACTTTATCACTTTGAGCTCCAATCACTCGTCCAGGTCCATGCCAATGGTGTTTCTTTTCATTTGGTGCACGTCGCCAGATCAACACTTGATCACCAACAACAAATGGTCCCCTATTGAGCCTGGTTCGATGGCGAACTGCTCTCCGGAGTCTGTCTTCACTATCAGCATCAAGAAAAGCTTTTCTTGCTGCAAGTCTTATTTTCTGAGACCTGACATGTCTTTCTTCATTCTCCTGAAGTGCAGAATCCAACGTTTCATTTCCTTCTCCGACCATGCCAAGCAGTGGAATTCTGACATCAGTTCCCAGCACATGTTGCTGAGGTGAATACCCATCATGACGAGTGAGGGTATTGTGTGCTAGGTTCAACTGGTCACACAACTCTTCTGTTTCCTCCTTTGTCTGAGGATCCAGTTCCATCAAGGCCTTCTGAAAGGCTATCTTCCAAGCACCTCTCAAACGCTCGCACACTCCATTCTGCCATGGAGCATATGCAGCTGTCACTGAGTGCTCTGTCCCGTCATTGGAGAGATGATCAGTCCAACACGCACCAAACTCAGGTCCACCATCGCTGATCAATGTCTTGGGTGCGCCAGCCCATCTTTTCCAATACCTGCGATATGCTTTTCTTACATGCTTTATTTCAATTCCTTTCCACAACGGCACGCACAACTGGTATCTGGTTGCAATGTCCACAATGTTCAACAGTTTCAACTTACGACGAGGCAACTCAACTTCAAAGGTGTCAACACAAAGCAATTCATTGAACTGCAAGTCCCTGACTGCTTTCGACACGTTGTGACTTTGTTCACCTTGAAGATGCCGACATGTTGAACAGTTCAACCCTTTTGCAAGCCGGATACAAGTGTCGTTCGCTCGAGCTGCTTTCAACATTGCGATGAACCTTGGTGTTGATGGATGTCCCAAGTTCTCATGACACCGTCTCAACAATGCAATGATCTTCTGCTCGTCCTTCGTATCAAATGCTTCAATGGTCAACACACAATGTACTGCGTGTCCTTGCTGTCGTTCTTGAATATCGTCCAACAGTCCACGAAGGATCTCACGACAGAACTTCTGTGGATACTCTTGCGCAAGTTTTGACCTAGGTTTCCAACCTTCCTGAGTCTTCACAGAGCCTAAGATGTGTTGGTGAACATGTGTGTTATCACACAACACGGCCATACGCTGTGCAATGTGTTCACTGTTTACCATCAAGCGTGTCCGTTTCCTATGAGGTCTTCCATTTTCCCGGTCAGTCAGTCCAAACATGCACTGGTCCACAATGATCTGTCTCACGTTTGTTTGCGTTTCAACTCCCTTCACAGCAGGATCATTCCATGACTTTGCACTATGAGGTTGCTCAAGAACAAACAAATCTCCTCTTGCAATCTGGTCCAAGGCCAACTGCATGCTGAATCTCAAAAAGATCTTTCCTTCTTTAACCCTCTCTAGCCAACGTTTCATGTCAACATGTTTTTTCAACCCTTGCAAACTAGCGACCGTCTCACATGGGGGTGAAAGCAGCAAAAGACGTGGTTTCATGACAGACAGCTTCTCACGGAGTTGGGCTCTCTTTTCACTACTGCTTAGGTCCCAGCCGCTGAGGATATCGAATGATCCTCCACAGCTCAAGCCAACTTTTTCGGCCAACTTACAAATTCGTGGCACGGAAAATACTTCAGCCACATCAACCCTATCCTCTCGTCTGGAGTGATAATCAAAACATCTAATCGCTCTCCATTGTCCCGCCATTGGGACCAAGCACCCTCCAGCTCTTTTTCGACAAAGTTCCTCTCTGTGGATGTCAAGGGTCTTTCGTGGCCTTCACTGGCCTCTTGTTGGCTCACTTGCTCTGAGGCATGCGCTTGGGTTGTGCACTGGCGGCTGCCACTGCCTCCCAATCGCAATTGAACTCGCTCATGCCGTCCTCCTCGTGCTCCATCTCGTTCTCCATGGCAAACTCTGGAGCCCAGCCGCCGCCCTCGCGATCTCGAATGCGACCTTGGCTGCTCTGACTCATGCTGGCCATCTGCCGGAGAATCCTCTCCGTGGCCACTTGAATGGCTTCCTCGGATGTTTCCTCGTAGCCCTTCTTGCGACCACCAGCTTTTGCCTTGGGCACCTTGGGAGCCTGCTTCATGGCTGATCCCGGCAGAGCGGCGGTGCCCAGACGACGCCAGCGCGACGCCAGGGCGTACATCCGCACACAGCACGCAAATGCCACCGGCAGAGCGGCGGTGCCCAGACGACGCCAGGGCGACGCCAGGGCGTACATCCAACCCCTTGGCGAGCACCAAGTGCCGCACACAGCGCGCAAATGCCACCGGCAGAGCGGCGGTGCCCAGACGACGCCAGGGCGACGCCGGCGTACATCCGACCCCTTGGCAAGCAGCAAGTGCCGCACACAGCGCGCAAATGCTACCGGCAGAGCGGCGGTGCCCAGACGACGCCAGGGCGACGCCAGGGCGTACATCCGACCCCTTGGCAAGCAGCAAGTGCCGCACACAGCACGCAAATGCTACCGGCAGACTTCAACTGCTGCTCCGTCTTCTTGTCTTCCCACTTCTTGTGGAGCCTCTCCTTCTTGGCATTGTCCACACACTCCACGAACAGCAGCACCTTCTTCATGCCTACACATGACTTCAGGGTGATGTGGCTTCGAACCCACTTCACGTACTCCTTCTCCTTGTGGTACACTTCTGTGTAGGTCTTCTTGCCCTTGAACTTCCCAGCCTCCACCATCTCGTGTCCCATAATTGGACATTCCGCTTCGTCTGCCGAGGTCTCTGAGGGTTGTTCTTGGCATAGAACTCTCCCGGCTCTTCTCCTCCTCTTCGAGAAGGTTCTCCATGAGCTCTTTTGCAAGCTGGCTGCTCATAGCTTGCTTGGGGATCTTGAAGTGTCGTCACTTCGTTCTGGCTTGGCGCCTCGAGCACTGGAATGGCATAGTGGCCACAAGCAGTTCTTTTGAGTTTGATTGGAGTTGAGTCTAACCGATGAAAAACACACTGATCATTCTTCATATCCAAAACACACTCAAGCTTTCTGAACAACTCTTTCGAAAACAAAAAGAGAGTCAAAGATCCTGAATCTAGCAACACCGCTGCATGAACTACGACACGACGCCGTCCTAACCACAATGGAATCTGTGCGACCTCACTTGAGATCAGAGTGCCTGCATTCCCAAAACGAAATTCATTCTTTTCATGCCGCCTGATGACCCTTAAACCCTTCTGATTCAACCTTTTCTCAATCCCTTGAAGAATCACTTCCCCAACAAGAGTCTTACGACACGCAGTATCAGGCACCGCATATTCGCACAGGTCTGCGGACTCCATGTCCGTCTGATGAATCTCAAATATTCGAGAACTTTCTGCAGCCCCCCTCTCAGCAGCTCTCAGTACATCTTGTTCGTAATTGGCGATCATGACCTCGAAATCGTCCTCGTTGAGTTCAGGACGCTTGAGGCTCATCTACTCTTTCTCGACAGGTTTCAGGTCCAAAATGGTCCTTCCCGTCCACAAGCCTTTCTTCTTCTCGTGCGGGTGTTTGCTGATCTGGTAGTTGTCCTCCACCGTCTCAACTTCTCCATCCTGGTAGGTGATCTCAGTCTTTCTCACCCCTGACAATCTTTCCATCTTCACCGGAACATCGTTCATTCCAGTTGGAGAGAATAGGCCTTTTCTGACCTTGTGGTGGTGTCGGATGAGGTGGGCGTCAGTGACCTCCCAACAGTCCTTCGGATTCCTCTTGGTCTGAGGTTCAACCTTCTGGCCATTCTCATCTTCATTGATCTTCACCTTCTTCTCCGCACTCACATGGTGTTCACCCGCCATCTTGCCATGGACATACTTGACCTCCTCTGTCGCATACACGTCAAAAGCCTCGTCATCGCTGTCCATGATGTCCACACAATGAACTTCTTGTTCATGATGTCCTGAGCTCTTGCCCTTGTTTTTCTTTAGTGGACATTCTCTTTTCCAATGCCCTTGACGATGACAGAGATGACACTTTGTCTTCTGTTTCAGGGCTTCTATTTTTCCTTTCACCGTCCCTGTCAGTTGCCATGATGACGACTGGGGTCGGTATCCTCTTGATATCTTCTTTTCCTGCATTTTCTTTCTCACGGTGGCGTAGGCCTCAAAGATGTCCAAGGCCTCTTCACTTTCATAGCCATCTGTCTCTTGCACCTGGTTGGCGATGGTCTCCATCACTTCTTGGGTCTCGTTCTCGCTCTCTTCACCTCGGTCGTGGATCTTCTGGTGGATGTCGGTCTCCTTCTCCGTCATGAAGATGTCCTTGGTCTTTGCAGTTTTGACGGATTTCCCATAGACGTTGCGAACCGCACTGACTATATCATTGTATTTCACTGATCCTTGGCTGGCTGTCAAAACCATGGATTCACTTCCAATGCAAGCTTCTTCAACAACATCCAGCCCTTGACCTCGTCCGGCAACTCCACTCCATTGCGCACCAAGGCCTTGTAGGCTGTGTCAAGCCGGGTGATGAAGTTGCGATATGTTTCGCCCTACTTCACGCAGATCAGATAGAAATAATCTTTCATGACCCGCTGGAGCTCATCCTTCGAAGCTTCTTTGTATTTCTCGTCCAAGGTGTCCAGCACGAGTTTCCATCCACTTTCCTTGGTCTATTTCCCTCCATCAATTCCTCACTCTCCACTCAGATGTTCAAGAAGCCGTGCTCCCCACTTCTTTTCAGGCACATTCGTGGGAAGGGCCATCAAGAACAGCTGAGCTCGCCTCCGCCATCTTCTGTGTTCACTTGCATCTTCTCCATTAAAGATCTCTAAGCTCTTGTTGCCGTTGCCCTCTTTGTCCATGGAAGTCATCCCGTCTTCGTGTCCTCAAGCGTCGCTCTCCTCCCAACTACCGGGTGCGGTCCTGGTAGCTGGTTGGAGAGCTCCGCTACCACTGACAGCAACACGGTCGTTTTCTCCATAGCTGAAAGGGAGGCTCGTACCGGTATGTAGCGGATATTCACATATCCTCATGAACTTCTACTGACGCAAATCGATGCATGCTTTTCACAAGTGGTAGATTCCATATTTTTCAGTTTGGTGTATCATTTTAGACCTGCAAACTGGATACAGATATCGGCATCATTACACCTATTTCATTTTCATCATCATAATTAGTTTGCTTGAGAAGGCGCTTGGCCTTGCTGTATTTCTTGTTGGATGCGTTCCTTATTCAATATCGCTTTGGGGCTTGGCACCTCTCTCAGGATTGCAAGAATGCAAGGTAGGTGTGAACTTGAGTTGGAGATGATCCTCGCGGTTCAGAAGTTTTTGCTTGCTCTGCCAAAGTGTGGACCTTTGTATGGTGCTTTGCTGTAGTGGATGGTGGCACAAATGCGTGACCACAAGGCTAGCTGCAATGAGGTTAAGCAATTGGCTGTTTGGGCCCTAGGATCCTGTAGATTCTTTCTTAAGATGTGTCCGCCCATTCATCGGATGCTCTGTCCACCTCCTGGACTGCTCTTCTTAGTGAGTTCCTTACTTTTGGAGTCCATAGGTTACTTAGTGCAAAAGGGCGCTGAGCGAAAGCTACAATACAACAACAGCCAGATCCCAGATCTTGAAAGATTATCTAAAGCCAAACATATCCATACACTCTCCCCAAAACCGATTGTCCTCACACCGCCTGAGAATACACCTGAGACAAGTCGTATTTCGCAAGGGTCCCAGATCTGGGGAAGTCTCCAAGTTCACCCTTTCATTGGCTTGAGTTTTCGACCAATGCATGTGACAGCTGGGGGTGCAAAGCCTTTAAACTGTTGCAAAAGTCAGTTGGGAGTCCTTTCTATGCTCGAGATGGTTGGTCAGGCCCAAACAGTGATCAGGCTGGGCTTTGACACATATTGGCACCCTCATGTGTGAAAGGTTGAATCCCGGATCCCATTTGCAGGTCCTAAGGGCACCACGGCTTTGTGAAGAGCAGGGCTCCAAGATGTCCTGTTTCGACATCCATTTGTCAGCCTTCATCGCAAACTTTTTCATTGCAAGCATCAAGCCTCTTGATGTTCTCGTGGCCAGGCTGCAGAGGGTTGTGCAAAGCGTGCAACTCGAGGGTGACGATTTTCGTCAGCATGTTCCTCAGTCTCTCTCACAAGTCGGAAGTGATACAGCACGAGAGTGGACGAAAACCAGTTCCATGTTCCAAAAAATCCTCGAGTATATAGGTTCCAGCAAAGTTTGTGTGCAACACTATTTTTCTCCATGGCTCTTGTCAGTGGAGATCGATTGATTGCACTCTGCCTTGAAGCTGCTGCTCCAAGGCTCAAAGTATCCTGGGTCATTTCCAACCTTGAAGAGGCACGAAAGGCCAGAAAGCCAGGGGGATGCCGGACATGTGTGTGTTCTATAGTTTTTCCCGAAAGCATTGCGAAGGGTTCTTCCGGAAAATCCCTTGAACACTGACACTTTGACACTTACACTTACACACTGACACTTCCACCACATTCGCACTACATACTCTGACACTTCGACACTGACACTTACACATACACACTGACACTCGGCAAGCACGCAGTGTAAGTATGCAAGTGATGGGTACGCAAGCATGCTTTGAGCATGCAAGCATGCAATGAGTAGGCAAGTGTGAGTATGGAAAACTAGCACGGGAGATGTCCTAATGAAAAAACATTTCCCCACTTTATAAATTCTCTCTTAAAGGCGGAGGGCGGGACGAACAGCGTCAACCGAAAGTGCAACCCTCTGCGGAGATCGTGCGTGTCGAGTGCGCGAAATGCAGGCGAGAGTGCGATTTGTCCGGTCCGCGCGCAACCCTCTGCGGAGATCGTGCGTGTCGAGTGCGCGAAATACAGGCGAGAGTGCGATTTGCCGTCTGCCCGGCAACCCTCTGCGGAGATCGTGCGTGTCGAGTGCGCGAAATACAGGCGAGAGTGCGATTTGCCGGCTGCCCGCGCAACCCTCTGCGGAGATCGTGCGTGTCGAGTGCGCGAAATGCAGGCGAGAGCGCGATTTGTGAAATTACGCTGCTTCTCCCCTTACCAGCAGCTCACATGCTCATGACGATGAGCTGGGCTGTCACCGCTTGGCCGCCGGTGGGGGCTTGGGAGGCCTGCGCTCTACTTCGCTCATCTCCTCTGACAGGTCACTGCTTCGAGACACTTCTGGCGCACCTGCCTCGGCACTTTTCTGTCCTCATTCCGGTTCGTTCTTTTCCGTGAGCTTTTCCTGGCGCCGTGCACGCTGCTTCTCCCCTTACCAGCAGCCCAAATGCTCACGACGATGAGCTGGGCTGTCACCGCTTGGCCGCCGGTGGGGGGTTTGGGAGGCCGCATCACACACAGACACCCACACACTCCCTCAACTTACACGAACACACACATACGCAGACTCATTTCCACACGGACATAGACACGCACAGAAACCCACACACTACCTCAACTCACTCGACTTCACACTTCTCACTGCACACTTTCCGGATAACTCGCACTCTGACTTCCTACGTGATGAAAAATGCTTTCGGGCCACTCGTCGTCTAGTTTGTTTTGTACATGTGCTTTGTAGCTGCTTATTTTTGCCAACGTGATCAGGTCTTGCTTGGGAGACAATAGACCAAACGCTAGGTATTCTGTTTTTCAATTAAGGCGTCCTTGCGGAAGCAGGTACCGCCCGTCAGATGCATCGGAGAGAACATGATCTTGTTCATCCTTTTCTTTGGCATGGCTCATAAAGTTGTTTCAAGCGTATGCCGGGGGTGACCACGGCCCATTGATTTAATTGCGAACTATTTTCCATAGGGATCAGTGTGCAGAAGCATAGCATTACTAGCATCATAGAAAGAACAGTTTACTTGTACACTTTGTGCATGCGAGTTGATTGCAGCCGTTTTGCAAGACAAGGAAAAGTGCGTATGGTAGCGGAGCTGAGAAGGAGGTAACCCCTCTGGAGCTCTGAGTGAAAAGCCCCTAGGTCACTGGGATGCCGGGTGCGATTTATAGATCAGGGGCCGTTGGAACCCAAACAGTTGGACTGGTGAGTAGTAGTTGTGAGCAACACTCTGGACCCAGTACGTTGTGTCAGAAAGACATTAGTGCGCAGTGGAGATGGAGGAGATCAGAGAAAGCTTTCAGGGTACCCTAGCAACAACATCAGCAAGGCAGTACAGAAAGCAGTTGAAGACAGTAGGTCATCAACAACTGATTGGTCAAAATTGACTGCAAAGCCCAACATCTTTGAGCGCAAGTCACAAGAGGAAGAGATTAAGGCATTCAGAGAGTGGTCATGGATCTTTGAGAAGCGCCTGAGCGCAGTGGATGAGGGCTACGTGAAAGACCAAATCGCATGTTTGATATGGACTTGGCAGACGATGCAGAGAAGACCAGGTGCATCAAGTTTTATGGATTGTTAGTTGCTAGCTTCACTGATGAGAGGAAGGGCACTGCAATTGGTGAAAGCTGTGGAAGACTCCAATGGATTTGATGCCTGGAGGAATTTGAACAAGGCTTTGAAACCTACTTCAAAGGCTAGGGGTTTAGCGCTTTTGGGAGCAGCCACTACATGGCCACCATATTCAATGAATAGTGTACTACAACCTCAACTTCTGAAGCTTGAAGAGATATTTGATGAGACAGTCAAGTCAGGTGCTACAATTCAGGAAGAGTTGAAACCTGCTATTCTTTTGAGATGTGTAGGTGGACAACTCAAATCCTACTTGAATTTGACCATTGGCGACAATGTTCAATACTCCAAGTTGAGGCCACAAGTGTTCGAATGGGTTCGCTCACAGCAGAAGTGGGCTACTTCCATCGTGGGGAGTAGCAGTGCAGACTATCAAGGGCCTATGCCCATGGAGGTTGATTGAGTTCAAGATGCCAAAAGAAAAGGTAAGAAGGGCAAGAATGACCATCAAAAAGGCAAAGGTAAAGACGCCAAGGGCAAAGGAAAGAAAGGAAAAGGAAATCAAAAAAAAGGCGATCGCAAGGGCAAAGGTAAAGGCAAAGACAAGAAGGCAAAGGTGTGGCAACATGTTACACTTGTGGAACGCCAGGCCATCTTGCTGAAGACTGTTGGAGGAACAATACTCGACAGGTAGCAGTTGATCAAGCCCATTCACCTTCACAAAGCACCAGTGACTACTCACACTTGGTCAACAACATGCCAATTGAGCCAACAAGGTAGCTGAGCAGAGACCAAACCAGTGGTCAGGAGAATTGAGAACAGTGAGCCAATCATTTTTGACTTGAGACAAGGAGATGATGAGCCAGAAGATTAAGGAAGTCAAGTAATTCACTTCTACGTTGTACGTTGGAGATGATGATGATGATGATGATGATGATGATGAGCCAGAATTCCAGGAAGTTGAAGAGATTGACATCTCAGATGATGAACCTGGTGAGGAGACTTGGGGAAGAGAATGATGATGTGATTATTATCTTTCAGTACACAGACCAAGCTACAAGATGCACAAGGAAATCGTATCCCCACAGGAGGTGCGAAAGTGTTGAAATTTCCTTGCGTGACCTTGATGGGCGAGGAGTTCTTCTCAAAGAGAATGTGATCTTCAGTTCTAAGGTGAATCAGCCCATACTTTGTTATGGAAGGTTGACGAAGCATGGTTGGGGAATCAATAGCAGAGAGCAAACGTCGGAGAATGGTGACTTGAAGGTACCACTCAGCCTACAAAATCGCTCTCTGACAGTTCAAGGCCGGATTAGCCGGATTAGAGATGAGAGCTGCTTGGAGGTGCAAGTACCTGAAGCTTTGGAAAAGGAATCAGGTTGGAGATTCAATGAGCATGGACTGCTAGTTGGAAGCTTATTGATTTCAAGATTTGTGGACCCCACAATCAATCCAGAAGTGGAAGAATCACCAGAGTTGACGAGAACTGCTTTGGTGAAACTTGATGAGCAGTTATTTGATGATGATGCAGTCGTTCCTTCAATCACAAACTTCAGCTATGAGCCAGCGCCCCCAGAGGATATGGGATTCTTTGCGCCAGGATACAAGAAGCTTGGGGACGGAGAACAGAGAAGGAAAGAAGTTCAAGAGGCCATGGAAGAGATTACCCCTACTCCCCAGGAGAAGGAGGTAGAAGGCCAGAGAGAAGAGGAAAAGAAAGACGAAGACCTTGAATGTGAACTTCAATTGAGCTCAATGGATGTAGACACAGTCTTGGTGAACGGAGTAGAGTTGACTAAGGATTCATCTTTGGCAACTCTGAGGCAGCGTGTTCATTTCTCGGCATTTCAGGCAGTGGCGCTATACTAAAGGTTTACACCAAGGTCCTCAGTCACAACAAGAAGATGGAATTGTTGAACGCCAAAAAATGGTTGGTGAGCGAAGCAAAAGCTCAGGAGACAAGGGAGGCATTAGGGCAAAGTGTTTCAAAGATGCCAGATGAAGCAACTCAAGCAAGGCACAGGAGTGCTTTGAGCGTCGAGCACGTCCAGATCACCATGAGAGAGCAGATGGAGTAAAGAGAGGAAGTATACCTGAAGCAAGCTTTGACTTTTGCTACACAAGAGCAAGAGGCTCAGAAACAAAGTCAGCAAGAGCAGTATGTTGGCTAGTTGCAATTGACATGTTGTGCCATTAGGAAGCAAACGACAATTTCGCCTAATTGTACAAGAGTTGATGAATTTCAGTCAGTTGTTGGGGTATTCAGCAATCACCTACAGGAGTGATAATGAACCCACAACAAGACAAATCCTCAAGATGCTGATCAATGCTCGTCACAGCCTAGGACTCATTACCAGGTTGGTAAACTCAAAGCTTGGAGATCATTCATTTCTGTCAGAAAATATAGTTGACAGGGTGAGAAAGCTAGCAGGAACTTTCATTGAAGGTTTGTAATCAAGACTTGGTATCAAGATTGGGTCAGATCATGCAGTTTGGACGTGGGCAGCAGGACATGCCAGTTGGGTACTCCATAGATTTTAGCCAATCAAAGGATCAACTCCCTATGAACTTGTCTATGGCAAGAGTTCCATAGGACTTCTAGCAGAATATGGTGAACCAGTTCATGGTTACGTCAAAAGCCTCAACAAGGGAGAAAACTCGCAAGACAAAGATGTCCTTACATATGGAGCGCAGGTAGTGCTCAGCAAGTGCATCCGAAGAACAGATCAAGATGGGTCCAAAAACTTAACCCATATACAAAAGCTTCAGTGCATTTTCATGGGAGTATCAAACCAACTTTGGAGGCAAGATCGTTGCCGCCAAAAAGAAGGGCAGAAGCATTACCAGCTGCACAGACAGACATTCCTTGGGAACATGTAACGGTGAAATTTAAAGATGAAGATGCATAAGCAGTTATGGGCAAGGCGCTGGAGGAAGTGATTCAGAGAAAGAGGATCCACTATCTCCAGAGCCAAAGGAGATTCCGGCCTCGCTGGAAGTCCCTGTTGAAGCAATGAGAGGAGATGGAAGTGGACGGAAGCCCAGTGGAGAAGAAACTCCAAGTAAGAGGCAGAAAGTTCTTTTTGCAAACGAGAAGACACCTGAGAAGGCAAAAGCATTTCCCCCTACATCATTGCCAGCAGGACGGCCTAACCCAATTACTCCTATACTAGCTTCATTGAGGTCACCATCAGCGCCATCGAGGCCAAGAGAAGTATTGAACTGCTTGAGGAGGGAAGCCCAATGAAGAAGCTAAGGCCAGCAGATAATTCAGAAGAGATTAACGGACCTGAATGCTTGTGGCGTGATGGAGAACATGAACCTGAAGAGAATCCAGACGAGTGGATTGATAGAGTAGCTGATGAGGTGGAAGAGAAAAGACGCCAAAAGCAGGTACTAGAGAAACCAGAAGGTAGCCCAAAAGGAATCAGTTACTTCGCAGCAAGAAATGTGTATGGCTGCAGGAAGAAACCATATCAGCTTGGGATGGTACTTCAGTCAAGAGGTGGAAGAGAAGATCAAAACTAGATTATGCTTGCGCTGAAGGAAAGAGAGATGACATTTTCTCACCAGCGACTCCAGGGCATGTACTGAAGCTTCTACCCACAATATTCTTGCAAAGGATCAGTGAAGAGGAGGAAGCAAGAGAGGGAGAAGGAGCATTTTCACAGATACTAGGATGTCTTGATGGACAAGATGCATTTCCACAAGTTCCACAGGAGAAGCCATTGAAGGTCATCCTGGGAGGAGAAGAATTCTTGGTGAAGAGAAACCTACATGGACAGAGAGTTGGAGCAAAATCGTGACTTTTCACAGAGTACCTCGCGCAGTAACTCAACTACAAGTTCAGCGCTGAGTGTCCACGCCCGGGAAGAAATGAGAAGAGTATCATTTTGATCCATGTGGATGACTTGATTTTCACAGGAGACTCAAAGTACATCAATGAAATCTGTCTTCCAAAGATTCAAGGCGTGATGAGTTCAGTTTTCTGAGGAGAAAGTACAACCTAGAAGCTGATGGACGATGGATCCAACCAGGCAACTACATCCAGCAGATGTTGAAAGCCTATGAAGAGCAGATTGGATCTATTAAACCCCAGCAACTACCATCAGACAACTCAATCCAGATGGAAGGCAAGTCAGAAGTACTACGTGAGCAGGAGAAGATTAGGCTTTTCAGAAGCATTGTTGGATCAGGTATCTACTTATGTCAAGAGAGGTATATGTAGCGTTCACAGTGAAGGAGCTGGCTTCAAGAATGTCAAATCCTACAGCTATGCCATTTCATCATTTGAAGAAGTTCCTAGGTTACTTGAAGAAGGCTATGGACTATTGTCTGGTACTTGAATTTCCACAGGCAGGAGAGGGCTATGTCAAGGAAGAAGAAAGCTGTTGCGTCAGATGGAATCTACATTCGCGCAGTTCTTGAATTTGCTCTTGGGACAAAGGTGGACAATTATATCTACACAGGTTCTTCAAGTGCAGGCCAACTTGTGATGAAGAGAGGAGTTGGAAAGGTGAGACACTTAGGTGGAAAGCTGCTATGGATCTAGAGCAGGAAAGACTTCAAGATGGCACAGGTGCCAACAGATTGCAACTTAGCAGATATCAACGCAAAACCGCTTGGAGGACAAAGGGCAAGATACTTGTTGAATTTCATCGGTTACTGGCACGGTGAAGACCAAATCAGAGTAGGAGAGCGTGAGAGAAGGGAATATGAAGAGAAAAAGAACTTTGCAGGAAAGGTCAGCAAAATTACCAAGATGCCTGTGAGAGTTGTCCTGTCCATTGTGTTCAACATTACTGGCTTTGCAGAAGTGATTTTTGTGATCTTCAAAACCTACAAACTTTTTTCAGCGCTACGTGCAGATTTTGTTCACGCAAGCAGCTTCATGACAGGATGCTGTGAGACGATCGCCAAAAGAATTGACAAGCGAATTGATGATGTTGAAGTGAGAGTTGGAATGTGGAGAGAAGAAGAACTTGAAGAGAAGTTGGAAACACTTCAAGACTATGTCAGGAGGATTCACAGTGGATTGATTCTGAATGCAGGCTTTGTAGAGAGAGGAACGCTGAGTCGACAGGCTAGTCTTAGCTACAATATCCGGAGTGAGACCCATGCAGCAAACTACCTAGCCAGAAGGAGTAGAAGGATGGTATGAAGGACACAGGGTGATGCTGTAGTGTGAAGATATGAATAAACCTACAGAAAAAGAGAGAGAAACAAGAATTGAATGGAAGAAAATGGACTATGGTGGCAAAGTGAGCCCAAAGAAGCAGTTTAGACGAGTCTTACATCGCCAAGAAGGAGTGCGAACCAGTTCCTTTTTTTGGAATTAGTGCGCAGAAGTGTATCGTTTCTAGCATCATAGAAAGAACAGTTTACTTTGTACACTTTGTGCATGTGAGTTGATTGCAGCCGTATTGCAAGACAAGGAAAAGCGTGTATTAATATATGTTGAGAATCTCTTGTTCTTTGTGTCTATGTTTTTGGATTACGCGGCTGTATGCGGCTGCTGTGTTTTTTTCAAAGTTGTGTCTTGAAGCCACGCTTTCATGTTTCGCACGTGTCCTTGTTGTCCGTGAACGTTGTCTAGTGGCCCTTGGAATTGCCATGCTTGATTCTGTCCTTTTCATGCACGGCATTATTCTGGGGCTCCAGAACCACACGACTAGTGTTGCGTTTATCTAGTTCAAGCAGAAACAGCTTGAAAACCGATTTGAACGCTACATTGTCTCCTGCGGCGTCCAGGATCCCGAGAAATGCTCACTCGTTGCTGCGGCCATTTTTCTTGGGACTGCGCAGGAGCCAGTTGTGTCAAAACATTCCCACGGGAATTTGGACACCGCGTGCATAATAAAACAGATTGATTTGTTAGGTTGATTTGTTTTGCTCTTGCATGACTTGGCCCTTGTGAAGCCACGTGCTTGCAACAAAAAGGCATGTCTGAAGGGAAACTACACCTGTGAGAGCTCCTGCAAGATGGTCTGGCTGACATGTTGACTTGATAACTGGACTATATAACCAGTAGTTGACAGACTTGAAAAAAGTAGAACGTGCAGCTTTGACCTGCAAGGTGGATTGCCGACATTTGGTCAGACCGATTTCGTGCTTGCATCGCCCTGGAAGAATGCCTATGCAGAGCAGATTGAAGGACTGGGTTGTTAGACATTGGCCCTAATGTGTGTTTTCATGAAAGCACAAAAATAAATATAGATATATATATATATAGCAGATGTTTTTTCATAAACTATGGCACATTTTGCCTTGGTGGCATGCATGGCAATAGCTGCTAGGCTTCAGGACAGAAGCAACAGATTATATGCCAAAACGGTCGCGGGCTGATATCCAGAACAGCAGAAGCTCGTGTCGCTGGCCATTCAAGAGCTCTCAAAACAATAACATTAGCTTTGTATTTAATTTACTTCTATTTTTTCTCGCAAGCAGTGTGGAAACACTAGGGGTTCTTACAGTAGTAGTTAAGGCTGGATTTTTGATCTGAGGTTCTCATCGGCGCGTCTGGCCAATTCGCTGCTACTTACAGTGCATTCATCCACCTCGGGATCTTCGAAGTGCATGTCAACTGCGCCTGGGGCGGGTGCTCTTCGAGACTGCGCTCTCGTTGTGGCGCCGTGCGCATTTTCGGGCAGGCGCAATGGACACCTCGTGCTTTGTTGGTCCAAAGTCGACTTTTTGTGGCAGGCACAGGAGATCGGACGGGTTTACTTCGATGTACAGATTTCGTGGCAGGCGCAGTGCTTTGGACATGGTGGTGGTCATCGGCGTGCTCTGATCTCGTGGCGCAATGCTTTTGTGGACCTTGAAGTGCATCTCTAGATTCATCACCACCATTCTCCACCATCACCGCTCCCTGGAACCCAATGCGTCTAGATCTCTAGACCTCCTGCTTCTACACCTCTAGACCTTAGACCTGTAGACACATTGTTTGGGTCCCTTGCCGGGGTAACTTAGTAAAACAGCATTTTTGCGCAAGGGTGTTGTTACTTGCTTGACACATATTTTGTATATTGTGCCTGAAAATATTCTACATTCATATTACACAGAGAGAAAATCCGACACAGGCTTAGAGCGAAATCCGCAGTATGAAAGACAAGGTAGTCTTGAACCTACAAGGTTATGTCGGCTATGTCCAAAATCCTAAAGTGGTTCCAGCGCAAGAGAACGCAGGTGTTGTTGATGATGTACATGAAGCGGGCTTTGATTTTTTGATATTACTTCAATGGAATATATTTTCGTTAATGTATTGAACATAGACAGTGCAATCCTGAAAAGGATCCTGATTTTAAGTCCGATGAAACAAACACATTAGCGTTTGTATTTTGGGGCACTGATCTGTCAAAAACATACGTGGGTTCAATTGAATGCGGATCTTAACGTTGTCGTACCTAGTGAGGCTGTGACCCGCTTGATATGGCTCTTCACCTTTCATACTCAGAATGCAGACGTGTGGCTCTTCTCAGGCGAAACTCCAGACTTGCATTTTCACACTGTTGAGGTTGAAGTGCATTGTGCTTTGAGGTGTACTGGGATGGAACATCCACAAAGCCAGTGCAGGTTGTATCACAATATTCATGAGGCAAGGAGGGCACCGGAAGATAAACAAACCAAACGACAAGATGGCTCAACAGTGTGTCTTCCAATGAATCTTCTTGGAGCGGCATAGCCAGTACGGTCAGCACTGTGTGTTTGCCTACGTCCATTGAGTGAGTTTTTGCGGTAGTTTGGTCAGTCGGTCAGAGAAAAGATAATTTTGTGCGAACAGCAGCGTGTTGCACGAAGCAAATCCAATTCAGGACTTTTAGAATTCATGGAATGCCTTTGCCTTTGTTTGCTACCTTAAGCACTTCATGTGGCAGGATCAGCTCTTCTTCCGGACAACCTACTTTGAGGCTTTTGAACGACTTGAGGAAGACATCCAGGCAGTGCCTGACGAATCCATCAAGGAGGCGAGTTCTAAAGAGCATTGCACCTCTTTGGTACCCCATATTACTCTGTAGCTGCTACTCTCTCCTTACGTCTTGGACTATCCCTTGCTAGTAGAAACAATACATTTTCATTTTCTTGAAATAGAAACAATGCACTCTTTCTTTCTTTCCTTCTTTTGACCTTTTTGCCCTTTCTCCTCTTTTTTCTTTTCTTTTCTTTGGACATCCTTTTCTTCCTTTCTTCCTGCCTTTCTTCTTTTCTTTCTTCCATATTCTTTTCTTCTTCTGGCTCTTGGACCGAACTACCCCTTGCCAGGATTTCTGACCAATGGAAGCTTCTCCTGCCTAGAACCTTTGTTTATCACACCTCCCCGGTCAGTGGGCTATCAAATTGCCACCAGTGAGCAATACTCTTTTACAAAAGAAATGGAAAGAATGCAAGAACGATGCTCTTTATGCTGACACAAGAGGTCTTGCCAACTGTTTACGCGTGATTTGCTGCTTCGTGGACATTACGACTTGCAGAGGGTGGAATCATTTATTCCTCTGGCGTCGGAATTCTGCGTGGTTCACTTCGAGATGGTGCGTCGACAACTGATTTGTGAAGCCGTATGCCACTTGAGCTGTGATTATGATCCTTTTTACGCGTGACCGAGGCCGTGGGTTGAGCAGCCTCCCCAAGTGGATGTCATATGGTGCGCGGAGTCGGTAGGACAATCCACTCCTGACAAGCTGGCCGCGTGAAAGAGTCGCAAGGTTTGGATTGCCCTTGCATCCTCACCATGGCGAGCAGGAAAGAATATAGTTCTTGTTAATCATGCGTGCTCATGGCAGCTTCTTTTTTTTTGCATTGTTGTGTGCTTTTTGAAGGAGATCTATTCCCAAGAAGAGTGCAGGACTTATATAGCTCGCAGTGGTTTGAGAGGTTTGAATCTTTTCATCCACAGTAGTACATCTTTTTGAACACCGAATATTGTGTCATGGCCTCAACAGAACACCTTTACTTTTCATCTGTTATATACAAGCTTCCAAGCGGTTGTTCTCAGGGAGATGAACTTGGTTTCTTCTACGTTGGATCGGGTCTTTGCGTGGGCCTGTGCTCATGGTGCTGACGCAGTCGTCATGCTCGCATCTCAGTTCCAAGTTCACTATGTTTCACTACTCCTTATGACATAAGTTATGTTTTACTAGTTCACCCCGACAATTCAGGACCGGTTTCTTGTCACTCGAACGTTCCTCGCAACCCCCTGCAGTGCTCGCTTGACCTCGCCGCTGATGTTGTTTGGCCCCCTCGCCTAGGCCTCCATTTGCCTGTGATATCGGTGGATTGCTTCATCCCAGGCTCCCAAATGCAGTAGTGGTTTGTTTTTTACTGTAGAGAACTAGGACGTAGCTTTGTTAACTATTGCACATGCTTTCAAGCTTTGGTATCTTTGGAATCTTTGGGAAAGCCCTGGCAGCAAGAAGAATCTGCAGGGCTCTTGGTCTGGCGCAGCTAATGCTGAAGAGGAAAGCTTAAGATATTGGGTGGGAGCTGCCGCTGACTTGCAGGCTGCACTTTGCAGGTCTGGTCCACGAGGCTTGAATTGGTTGCAGATTTATTGCGAGGAAAGCTTTTACAGTGATGCAGTTTCGAAAGATAAAAGGCGCAGTTGCTACGAAATCTGCTGTGAATGAAGGAAACTGTGATTCTCTAGTTGGATTTGGATATTGATTCTCAGTTCCTCCTTTCGGGGACTGAGCTTGACTGCTGACATTTGAACACCTCTATCATTGTTGTACATGTGTTCCGATGCATTGGACGACGCAGGTCTCCAAGCTGCATGAGCGTCACCTTCCAGTGGTTGGCATTGCCTCTGAGCACCCTGCGCACTGCAAGGACTGAGGGCGCATTTCTTGTCATTTCTTTTGTCCGGGCATGGTTGATCCTCTTCAATCCTCCTGGCCGACACTTGCAAGACTGGCGACGCTGTTGACTCTCTGGTAAAACCGGTGAAAAAAAGTGGAAGGAAAAGACAAATTAGATAGAGAATTAAGCGCAATGCGCATTCAAGCAGAAGTCCCAAGTCTTTAACGGCCATCGCCTTGAGGAACTTGACCAGATCTGCATAGGCATATATAAGTGCTGGGAAGAGCAGTTTCCAAGGAAACTTAGGAGCAAGGTAAGGAAGATGTACGCCCATGCAATTTTACATAGGCAACTGAACACTCAGGTCCCGTTTGCCACCTCAAGAAAGTCACAAAAGTCAGGAAGTGTAGTGATTATTGCAATCAGCGCCTTAGCAAGTATCCGGATGGATATCAATTGCACCTCCGTGCAGCTGTGGTACTCAACCAAAACTGCTTCTGATACTGAAAAGATTGGCCACCTCAGGCTGTGGTTCCAAGACTATCCAGTTCGGCAATTGAGGCACATCTCCTGCAAGAAAGTTCGAGAATAGGGCAGCCAGTGAAAACCGAAAGCCTTGTTGAGCACGTTGTAGCAGCACCATTGAGAATTGCAAAAAGCTCGGCAGCACGGGAAGACAGCGCAAAATGGCTGACACGCCTATTGGTCCATCACTTACGCATTGTAGGAGCTCCAATCCTAGTACGTACTATGCATAGTAGCCCCACACCTTGGCATTGGAATCGACATTGAAGTGGGCAGCGGAAATCCCTTGGTTTGATTCCAGAATCTACGATTAGGAATCAGCGAACCTTGGAGCAGCCCGTTTATCATTGTGTTGGGCAGTAAGGAGGCAACGCAATCCTGAGGTTTATGAACATAGTTTAGAGAGTGAAATTATTCAGGAGCACATTTAGCTTGCCAATATCCTTTCTGGTCCTGTAACTAGTTCTCTCAGAACAGTTCTGCCTGGATGTGAAGCAATGCGTACACCTTCAAACTGCAGCAAGAAACATGTAGAATGCAACCCACTGCTCTTTGGCAAGCTCTCATGATGTAAATTATTGTCAAGTTCATTTATCACATGGCACAGGCAAGCTGGTGGGACGACTTTGCACAGGCTGTTTGGAGCTCAATGGCTCTGTGGATTTGTGATGATTCTTTTTGCGGTTTGGGTAAGGCCATAAATGGGAGACCAGTGCCTCCCGTGCAGCCTACTTGATTGATTGGTTTGAGATGATTTGAGTATTCTGGTGTCACTTGACGCTGGTGACCTGGTGCATTTTGGCAGTCACTGGAATTGCGTGTTCCAGAATTCCATTCGCTTGAGTGTGACAAGCCAAACATGCAAGGATTTATTGCTTGACTAGTTTTGTTGAACACCCTACTACGCGCAACCTGTAGTTCTTTGTGGTGGCAAGGTAAGCAGTGTTTCAGTTGGTATGGTAGCTTTCCTTGCCACACTTTCGTGGTGGCTGTCCTCAAGACCACAGCAGTAGTCAGCATCTCTGGCCAAAACAGATGGACGCTGGCTAACTAATCTCATAGCAATGCTTCCAACTTTTATTGCATATGATGACGTTACGGTGGTGCAATATCTAGAATGATGCTACTGATGCAAATGTGCAAGCGAAGGCTGGAAGGGTCATTGTGTATCGAGATGTATAGTGTTTTAGGTTAAGTTCCAGGTAGGAAGCTTCTTTTTGCCATATTTTTTATTCAGCAAGGGTGCTGCCAAGATTGGCTGGGTGGTATTGCGGTGAGTGATTGTGTGGACTGTTTCCCAACAGCAGAATGCAGTTGGGTTTAATCCGGAATGTCTCCCTGGAACACTGGGAGCTGTTGTGTTGGAACCCTTGCTTGGAACCGTGGGTGCTGTCAGGTGCCACCCTTAGGTTGTGTGTTCAGAATGCCGCCATGGAACGCTTGAACCTTGGAACCCCATAGGCCTATAGGCGCTGTAGGTGCTGTGATCTGAATGCAACTTCCAGCTTGGGTGTTGTTATATAGTTGCTGTGATCGGGCTTGCGCCTTGGAACCTGCGTCCTGATAGGTGCTGTCGTCGGGCTTCCACCTTGGAACCTGGGTGGTGTTCGGCGCTGTGATGGGACTGGAGCCGCCGGCGCTATTCAGCCATGCGCTGTGCTCTTCCATGTTGGAAGTCTGGGAACCCATCTGTTGTGGGCCGTGATCGGACTCCAGCCTTGGAACCCTGGTTGATCGGACTTCCGCCCTTGAATCCTTCGTGCTGCGTGTGATCATACAGCCACCTTGAAACTGTGGGCGTTGTTAGGAGCTGTGGTCGGACTTCCCCATCTGTGCTGATAGGTGCTTTGATGGAACCCTGATTGCTGTGACGTCAGGTGCTGTGATCGGCCTTGGGCCGTCAGCTTGGGGCAACGTTTCTCAGCGTGGACGGTGTGAGCAGCGCAAGCAAATGAATCTGCGCAACAAAGAAACGTAAGTTGGCTTGATAGCCTTGGTGTGTCGTGTAAGTTTAATAACGTTGGAGGAGCGCAGTGAACTGCGTGTGCCTGACAGTACTACGGTAGTTCTGCACAGAGTGTCCTTTGCGCGCGCGCAGTGTAAAGCATGGACCGGTGGGTGCTCAGTAATGTGCCTTTATGCAGGCCACTTGTTGCATGCGCATATCGTATTGGTCGCAGGGCAGAACATGTTTTGTGCCTATTCTGAGCAGTTTCTCTATGCAGCACAAAACACGCCCAGGACGTTTCTGTGTTGTTGCACTTGTGGTCTGTTTTTCCCGAAAGCATTGCGAAGGTTTCTTCCGGAAAATCTCTTGAACACTTACACTTGAACACTTACATTTCTAAGTATAAGCATGCAAGTGTAAGTATGCAAGTGTAAGCATGCAAGTGTAAGCGTGCAAGTGTAAGCGTGCAAGTGTAAGCATAAGCAAAGCATGAAACACTTTCACGGGAGATATCCTAATGAAAAACATTCCCCCACTTTATAAATTCTCTTTAAAGGCGGAGGGTGGGACGAACAGCGTCAACCGAAAAGGCAACCCTCTGCGGAGATCGTGCGTGCGGAGTGCGCGAAATGCAGGCGAGAGTGCGATTTGTCCCATGTGCGCGCAACCCTCTGCGGAGATCGTGCGTGTGGAGTACGCGAAATGCAGGCGAGAGTGCGATTTGTCCGGTGCCCGCGCGACCCTCTGCGGAGATCGTGAGTGTCGAGTGCGCGAAGTGCAGGCGAGAGTGCGATTTGTCCGGTCCACGCGCAGCCCTCTGCGGAGATAGTGCGTGACGCGTGCGCGAAATGCAGGCGAGAGTGCGATTTGTCCGGTCCGCGCGCAGCCCTCTGCGGAGATCGTGCGTGTCGAGTGCGCGAAATGCAGGCGAGAGTGCGATTTGTCGGGGCCGCGCGCAACCCTCTGCGGAGATCGTGTGTGTCGAGTGCGCGAAGTGCAGGCGAGAGACTTGTATGGTCCGCGCTTTTTGTGCCAGCTTGTAGTGCAAATGCAGTGCGGGAAAGAGCGGCTTGGAGCTGGACTGGCCAGTTTGTTGTAAAAAGGTAGTGCGGGAAAGAGCCTTTCAGAGCTGGAGTGAGAAGTGGCCAGTTTGTAGTGCAAATGTAGTACGGGAAAGAGCCTTTCAGAGATGGACTCAGAAGTGGCCAGTTTGTAGTACAAATGTAGTATGTACGGGAAAGAGCTTTTTGGAGCTGGACTCAGAAGTGGCCAGTTTGTAGTTGTGCCTTCTGGTGTGTGGACAGACCGTGTGGCCAAAGTACGTTCGTGATGTCGCAATGCCATTGGGATTGTGGCGAAATTACGTCCGTGATGTCGCTGTGCCTTCTAGTGTGGACAGACCGTGTGGCCAGAGTACGTTCGTGATGTCGCAGTGCCATTGGGATTTGCGCGGGCGCGGGCTTGGGCGTTTGCGTGGCGCCGTGCCACTGGGGAGCGCAAAACACGCTGGCGTAAACGCGGCGCATGGCTGGTGAGCGGGATCATTGGCAGTTTCGTGTGATATGTTTGCTTCTAGTGTGTGGACAGACCGTGTGGCCACAGTACGTTCGTGATGTCGCAGTGCCATTTGGATTTGCGCGGCCTTGGTGAGAAGTGCGTGGCGCCGTGGGGAGCGCGAAACATGCTGGCGTAAACGCGGCGTGTCGCTGGTGAGCGGGATGATTAGGGGTATCGTGTGATATGTTTGCTTCTAGTGTGTGGCGGACCATGTGGCCAAAGTACGGGGAAGTGCTGGCGTAAATGCGGCGCGTGGCTGGTGAGCGGGATCGTTGGCGGTTTCATGTGATATGTTTGCCTCTAGTGTGTGGACAGACCGTGTGGCCAAAGTACGTTCGTGATGCCGCAATGCCATTGGGATTTGCGCGGCCTTGGTGAGAAGTGCGTTTGCGTGGCGCCGTGCGACTGGGGAGCGTGAAACATGCTGGCGTCAACGCGGCGCGTGGCAGGTGAGCGGGATCATTGGCGGTTTCATGTGATATTACCCAGATGTCGGTGGCTTGCGAGAGGTCAAGAACTTGCAGAGAAAAGGCGTTCCTGCACGTCAGAGAGACATACAGAGAGAGACACATACACACACAGACATAGATACACACACACACAGAGACCCACACACTGACTCAACACACTAGACTTAACACTTCACACAACTCACACTCTAACTTCACACGTGGTGAAAAATGCTTTCGGGCCACTCGTCGTTTAGTTTTTTAATGATTTTTTCTTTGTTCGAAGTAGTAGCGCATGAAGGAGTTGAGGAGCCGGGGGTATCCATATTCCCCATTGAGCAGGAAGCCAAGGAAGCCCTTGCTAGTTAGGATCAACAGTGCAGCAGGTGGTTGTGTTACCTAGGATCAAACTTTTGCACCGGTAACAATGCTCCTACAGCTGGGTTGATTAGCTTTATAAAGAATGATGACAGATCTGGGAGAGCATGACAAAGGGAGAACGGCACAAGAGTCCCACTTCGACAAGTATGCAACACAGAGGAGGCAAAACTTCACAAGTCCCAAATAAATTGCTTTGCGCCAGCCCCTTGTCCACGTGCCTCGGATCCCTCTCATGGCCGACAAACTCGTTGGCAAGGACTGCGCCTTGCCATGCTGCACGTAAATCGTTGAACAAAAACTGGGCAATGTGAGACTGTGAGGATACAAGCGCTCTCCTGGAAAAAAGACGCGCGCAGCAAGGTGTTAGAGCCTCAATGATTTTTCTCCACGGGCACTTCTCATGCAAGGGGTTTTCATTATACCTCTCAGGTTTGGTCAGTGCCAGGAAGCCGGCGCTTGCGGGCTTCCTTCGTTTGACTGCAAAGTAAACCAACAAAACATAGACCGTTTAGACTCAAGTTTAGACCGTTCAAAGTTCCCTTTTCACGCTGTGAACGCAGTTCATTACCCTCCGAAGAGCGGAGGGTTGCAAGGAAGACGTCAACAAGTGCACGTTAATTTTTCTTTATTGTTTCTGCTTGTCATGCATCGGTCAGACCAAGATGGAGCGCATTAAAGTTGAACTATGTGCCAAGCAGCGCTTCCGGCTCAAAGCTAGATTCATTTTACGACTCTGCAGCACTTGCGGGGTCGTTGCTTTCCTGCGACCAACCCTTCGCAGCGAAAATACCTATATAGAAGGCAGTGTGTGAGGCTGGTTTGAGCGGCTGAGCCAGAGAAACATTTGTCAGTGAGGATCATTGAGTCCCGCCAGGTAATGTCATGCATCTTCCTGGCATTTTGATTCTTGTGCTTGGACAGCTTCTTTTAGGAAGCAACACGATGACTCAGGGAGTCAGTGGCATGTTTTCAACGTAACGTAAAATGACCTCTGGACAAGCCGGTTTTACCGAAATAATGTTCTATATAGTTTTGTTTTGTGTGAGTCGCTACCTGAAACGAGAAAACACAACCAGCGGTCTTGCAGGATGCGCTACTATTGAAGTTCCAGTGTGTGAGTCCTGCGACAATCAGCTAGAACCTGCGAATGCAAGAGATGACGAGGATCTCTTGCACTTCAGAATGCTGCAGGCACGAAGCTCTTGAATAGCTACAATCGGCAGTTCGTCTGTACTCAGTTCCAGATCCATGGTCGTGATAATTGGATGTGTGTTTGGTATGCTTTCCACGGGACCTTGTCCCCTCGATGTCAAACATGAACTCATCGGATGCATTTGCCCCTCACAGCTTGGCTTCAAAAGAGTCTCTGTGTTTGTTTTCAGCTGGGCTGATATGCTCTATTCTGCTGTGATACCCGGCTTGAACGAATGCAATCGTGTACGTTTACGTGATTTTCGACGCCAGCAGGTCAGTGCAGGCCTTGTCCCCAAAGAGCATGCAAGCGGTCGCAACAGGGTGGAGATGAGGCATCGTACTGACCCTGGTTAAGACTCAGCAAGTCAGCCTAGGAGGTTGTATATACTCCATGTAAGACCATGTTGATTTTGTTTGGAATGCACTCCTTCTTTTACAGCTGCATTTGCTTTCAACTTTTGACGCGTCGAGAGTTCTTGAGAAATCTGTGTACTTGTTCCCTGAGGCAACATGTGACGTCGCGACATTCAGCACTTCAATGGCTGGTGCAGCAAGCCGAGACGAAGTTCCTTCCTTTTGCAGCTGCTGTCTTGCTACCGCATGCATTAGCCTTTCTTGCGGCCCACTTCATAATGAGTCGACGTAGCGGACAAGCTGTCGAAGTCTTGCACGAGAAGAAAGAAGCGCCGAAGAGTCTCTCTTACATTATTGAACGGGCCGGACCTATGTGGTTGATTCACATGCTGGGAATTTTCTCCTTTGCAACTGGAGCTCCGAGCGTTGTGCGCAGCTTAGTCACAGTCTTGGTGCAGCTTGTTGACGGGCATGTAGAGATTCAATATGGATGTGGTTGGCAGTGTTCTGCTGAAAGGCTTCTAGTTGCTAGAAAGTTTTATTCCCCGGATAGCTGGTAACTATAGGGGTTCTTACTTCTCAATGGATGGGTTCCTGATTGCGGAAATTGGCTGCCGCTGCCGCTGCCGCCTTGTCTCCCAAGCTTGTCTCCCTTCATGATTTCGCTCGTTTCCCAAGCTTGTCTCCCTTCATGATTTCGCTTTTGGCTGCCGCTGCTGCCTTGTCTTGTGAAGTTGTGTCTCCCTTCATTATTTCGCTTTTTGGCTGCCGCTGCCGCCTTGTCTGTGAAGCTTGTCTCCCTTCATGATTTCAAGCCCTTGGCCCAAGCACGCGCGCCCGTTCTTGTCACTTCTATGTACGGCCCATGGCAGATTTTTCTGGCCGTGGCTGGTGATTTGGCACCTGCTGAGCGCGGCGCTGCAAGGGCCACCTGGTCCCAAGTCCAGGAGCATCCAGCAGATGCAGTACTTCGATGACGCGTCGTATCTTGAACATCAATCATCAACTTTTTTTGAAGACATACTGGATGCTGGGGGTGAGGGTAGTGTGGTGACCATGCACCACACTGGAAGGGATGTGTTTGGAGTCCCTCAAATGGTTACCCCTGAAACACATGGTGCAGGGCACGAAGATTCCCACGGGAAATTTTTGAGGATCCCGCGCCGACCTGTCAAGAGATCCTTTGTGAGGGCCATGAAAAGGCTTCACCAGACTGGCTTCTGTGTGTATCGTGGCCACATCCATGCCCAACCTTCCTGTTCGCCTGCTGCAGCTGATGTCTCCAAGACACAGCGTCGTTCGTCTTGGAAAAAGGCCAATGGGCCGCGACTCAGTTGCATTACATGGAACTGTGGCGGGTTGAGCACTGAACCCTATCATGAATTTTTATACTGGCTCTCAATCCAGCAGATCGATGTTTGTCTACTTCAGGGTACCCGGTGGTCGATAGCTGAACCGTGGCAAAGCTGTGGTTATGTGCTTCTTCCGACACCACAGCAGGCTGGAGCTCATGACGGGCTTCTCACCTTCGTACGTGCGCAATTCTGCCCAGCTTCAGCCATCAGCCATGCCACAATCCTTGAAGGAAGGATTCAACGCGTTCGATGTCACTTGGGCCACATTGGCATTGATCTCGTAAACTGTTATCAGCGCCCCAATAATCCTGCTAAGAATAGACTCGATCCAATCAAAGCGCGTAGTAAGTTCTGGCATACTTGGGAAGATCCCCTACGCAATCTCCTGATCACTGCAGGTGACTTCAACTGCACCTTGGACAAGCCAAGGCCGAGATCATCCTGTGATGCACACTTTCCGGACCGTGATCTTTTTCAGGCTGTGGTCACCAGGTTTTCCCTTGCTTCCGTTAAGGTGCATGATGCTCACCCCACGTTCACAGGACCTGATGGCCAGTCCAACATAGATTACATTTTTGCACGACGGCCGCAGTTAGATCAACTCTCACGACGCGCTCACTGCATCAGGTTCTTTCTTGAATACACATCGAGAATACCCTGACCATGTACCTATTGCCTGTACGCTGCCCCTGAACTGGAAGGCTTGGTACAGTCAACGCAGACAATCCAAGACCTGTCTAACTCGTCTGACTCGTAGTACAGTTCAACGCATGCGCCAGGAGTGGGAACAGCAATCCCCCAACTGGACCGTCTTCGAACAGCAGATTGATTCCACCTTGAGGCAAGCCAGCAACAGTTCTGCCACACCTCAGTCTGTTAATTATCTTGAACTCCAATCATGCGATGCACTCTTTCGCAAGCCTGTCATGCATCATGATGCTGTTCGTAGCATGCTCGCCACCAGGTCCATTGTTGCCCTGAAACGGCGCCGCCTGCACCTGGCGCGCGCCCCTCAGCCAAGTCATTCGTACATGTCGCAGGTCCTGCACGCATGGAGACACATGTCCCAACATTTGCAGCTCAGGAAACGTCTCCGTAAACTCTGCCAAGCCCGTCGTCGTGGTCGAGTCCAACAGGTCATCACCGAGGCTGCGCAGGCCGCAGTACGACGCGAGTCAAGAAGATTGTACATGGCCATTCCTACACTCGCACCCAAACTGCTTGAAGGCAAATTAGATTTCGTGCAGCGGGAATTGCTCAATCGCGGCAGGAAGAATTGACTGCATTGGAGAATCACTTTGCAACCATCTTTCGAGCCACCACCTCAGACTTTCCTGATCTGCGCACCATCAACATGCCAATCACACAGGATTCACAGGTACTTGACCGATGTCTGGACTGCAGATCGTCCCACTATCCCTCAGGAGTGGAAGAATGCCACCTTGACACTCCTTGCAAAGAGAACCGTCAACAGTCTGACAGATCTGCGTCCAATAGCTCTTACTTGTGGCATTGGTAAAGCTGTGTTAGGAGCACTGGTCAAGTGTGCACATCGACATGTGGCGCCCACCTTAGCCAAGTATCCTCTGTTTGCTTCTACTGCAAAGCGTGGAGTTCTAGAGGCCCTGCATTTTGCTTTTGAGCACTGCCATCAGGTACGAGCTTCATGCGTGAGCGCCAAACCATCACACTGGCAACGTCAGGCAGGGCATGTCAAGCCTATCCTTGTAGGTGGTCTCATGTTGTCATTCGACCTGTCTCAAGCTTCCGATAGGCTTCCGAGATCTGAGTTGTTTGAGGGACTGATGAATAGTAGTTGCCCTGAATCTGTGGCGCTCCTCTTTGGCTGAAAGATGCACACTATTGCATCAATCGTAGAGGTCTCAATTCCACCATTGCGACAACTTGTGGAGTCCGCCAAGGTTGTCGTGGGAGCCCCCTGGAATGGAATGTTTTTATGACTGTCATTCTAGACTTACTGTTGAGCAGCTGATACACAAGCTGATCTGCTTTGCTGACGACCTTTTGCTATGTTGGAAAATTGGGACACCAGCGCATGTCAGTCAAGCAATGCGTGAAATTGGAGCAGTACTTGACATTCTTGAGCAGCACCAATTGGTATATAATCCTAAGAAGACTGTCATTCTCATTCGACTTGAGGGCTTACAGGCAGCCAAGATCCACCAATGGTTGGTGCGCACCAAAGAAGGCCTCCATGTTCAGGTTCCCAGAGCCACAGGGGTGACACTTATTCCCGTAGCGCACTCATCACACACATATCTTGGACGCAAGCTTTCGTACTACAACTTTGAAACTCAAACAACGTCCCACAGACTTCAAATTGGTAGAGTTGCCTTTCAGAGACTGCGCCTGTGGCTTGTTAAACGCCATTCAGTGCCTTTGAAGACCAAAGCCCAAGTGTGGAGAGCGTGTGTTTTGAGTTCCTACCTCCACGGATTGTCTGCAGCGGGCCTCCTTCAGGAGGGCCTTCATCGTTTGCTCTTTCGTTGCCACACTGAACTTCGGTTGATGGGACGGTCACCTGGACATGTCACGCAAGAAACTAACCATGATTCGTGCAATCGGCTTGGGGTCCGTGACCACTCCAATTCCTTCAGGAGCAGTGGACCCACACTTTCGATCTTTTGCAGCGCAACCAGGCCAATCTACCGGAGCATGATTTTTTGAGACAACTGCCTCTTGTTGAAGCTAGAACTAGAGTAGTGGCTGTCTTTCATCGTGTGAAGGTCCAATCTCCCGTGTGGGACCTACCATGTCCGTATTGCGCTCAGACGTTCGAGAAAATGCCTTTGTTGAACAAGCGCCTTGTAGTCACCCATAAAGTGACCCGAGTCCATAACCTGTTTTGGCCTGAGCGGGATGCACTCCTAGGACGACCACAATGCTGTCACTGCCTCTACAAGTTCAGTGCGTGGGGAGGATTGAGCTTGTGTATCACAGCAGGGAGTTGCCCTCTGTTTGAACCTGACCTGCCACCGCAGGAGCCGCCAGCAGATCAGGCAATCTTCGGACAACGTGCTCAAGCCGAAGCTTGGATGGCCTTGATTGAGCAGCCTGAGCTCATTCGTACGCTGCGTGAGAATTGTGTCCTTTGTGGGGGGTACTTTTTCACTGGGAAAGTCATGCTGGAACACCTCAATCTCAACCACTTTGAGATGTGGGCTGAGTCCAAAACCAAAGCGTCAGTCATCGCCCAGGCCCTTCGTGATGCACACCCGTGTCAAGCTTGTGGGAAGAAGGCAGATAAAGCGCACGCATGCCATGTCATCCGCCAGATGGCCATATTTCATGTCCTGTGTATCGGAACTCAGAGACTGACCTCACCTGACCAAGCCAGACTACATTCAGGCTCTCCGGACGGCCTGCGGCAGGCAGTGTGACAAGCCTGGACCCATCATCCAGCACCACCTTCAGGATCATGCCGCCATCGTGCAGGAGGCCAGTGACAGAAGCACAAACTTGCAGAAAACCAAGCCATTGCAGCAGGAAGACCGTGCTACTGTGGAAATCGTACTTTTCGCAAGGGACATCAATGCGTGGTCTTCAATCAGATCGCCGTGCTCCAGGTGGTGGCGCTTCAGGAAGACAATCCACCAGTCGAAGTGCCAGAGCCCAAATTTGACAACATGCCACTATGCCAGGACACATCACGCCAAGCTTTTATGTCAGGAACCATGATGCCAAGGTGATGCAACTCATGAAGTTCCTGACCAGTCAGAGTTGGCAGGCTCTAGGGGCAAAGCGGCGCTGGCGCCCAGATCTTCCTAAATGCCAAGTCTCTTGCACGTCATGTCTTCTTACGACATCATCAGGCAAGATGGACTCTGACTCGTGCAGCTGAATGGATCGGCTTGGACCATCACCATGCTGAGATCCCTTGCCTACTTTGCGGAGCAATGCCAGTACTCTCCAGCAGCGTGGGATTCTTGCCAACTCACAGCTGTCCAACGTTCTTGAACTTCTCAGTGGCCAAGGCCTACTATGAGGCTGATCTCAAGCACCGTGGCACGGTTTATGGGGCACCTCGGAATAGGGAAGGGTTCTCAATGGGATTCGACTTGGAAGGTCCTATGCGGGCGGCTGCTGCAGCTGATGCGGGATTGGATGCGCTGCTGCAGTACTCCACTGACCCAATGGCGGACGCTGGAGGCCTGGCCAGCTGGCAAGCAGCGCTGAATTAACCTGGGTAGTAGGGAACATAGCTCCCTGATTTTTTAGTTTTGGATTGGAGTTGGATTCGATGAGAGTCCAAGTAGAGATCTTGATGGAAGGCGTGAGGATGAACCTCCGTGAACAAGCTTTCACGTCCGCCCCGTCGCTCTGATGACAGCAGAGACGAAACCCAAAAAACGCCCTTCGTGATTTCGCTCTTGGCTGCCGCTGCCGCCTTGTCTCCCAAGCTTATCTCCCTTCATGATTTCGCTCTTGGCTGCCGCTGCCGCCTTGTCTC